ACATTTATAGGTTTAGTATTAAGGTAGCAGAAGGATATTGGGCCTCCACTCAAGTACTCCCTCAATGCAAGAATATTTTCTTCTATTAAATTGGCATTCTATGATGCTCACCTTCCCAACACAACCGCTGAAGACAAAGCGGGTGAATAAACAAATGTGGTGAAGAGAGCTGATGGTGCCCCGCTATCCTCCCCAGTTTTTTAACTCCTTGGTCATGAAATCCGGGTGTTTTACAGAATCATCATGCATCATCCTGAAGCCTCCCAGTAAGGCTCTGAGACGCACGCGTTCTGCAGTCGAGAAAACTTGCATCATCATCTTAGTGAGCTACCCACCCCCCGCCCCCGCTCCCGCAGAAGGGGCGCCGTTTTAATAAAGGTGGTTTTATTGGCGCCCAGCCAGGCCCGCTCATTTACGAGTCTGCCAACTCCTGAGCTAGAGGTCTCCGACTGGTGGAGATCGCAGCTTCCCAGAGTTCACGGAAGCACACGGAAGCCTTCATCACCTTAGGAAGTTGCCAGGTGATCGTGATCAACACCAGAAACCTGAGCCCCCCCGCTCTGGAACGTCTTCTCCAACTCCAGTGCGCATGCGCGTGCGTCTCCTGGGGGCGTGGTTGACAATGACGGATCGGGTCTAAGTGTAGGTCTAAGTGGGGCCCGGCCTCCGTTTCAAATACACGCAGTGCGTGCGCTCGGGTGTGACGTCACATGTAACACACCTACTGTTGTTCAGCACTGGAAACCCTAAGGGGTTCTATTCTGCTTCATGGGGGGGGCCTGGATTCTGCCTGGACTTGATGCACCTATTCCTACTGACCTACCAAGCCAACGGAAACACGCACTGCAGAAGCGAGATGGTAACCCGGAGCGGCCTGTCAGCTCCGAGGTGGTCAACCCTGCCACTGTGAACAGCATGGACCGAGAGCGGTGCCCCCTCCATGCTGGCTGCACTGGGGTCGCCTGGGTTACCAATTCACATGCCGGCCCCCAAAGATCTTTAGTTCATCCGTCTGTCGGCTGACCCAGACATGGGCATTCTGTTAAAGCCCCAGGTGATTCTAAGCGCAGCTGAGCTGGACGCGGCCAACCCCAGGGCACAGCTCACCACTGCAATACGCAGGGAAATTCTCAGCACAGCTTCTTTCCTGTATCCGACAACCTGGCAGCACCCAAGAGGGAAAAAATGGCTGCTAGCCAAAAACCCATAAATGCACCTGTACTTGCGCCAGCAGACCTATGGGCTCACCCACACTGCCGTCAACTGTTCCCCACTACGCCAGCTTCCAGCCTGAGCTCCAACTTCCTCGCCTATCGATGAGGCGAGGAACCAGGGAGGCAATTGCCAATCCTCCGGGAGAGAATGGTTGTAAAGAGGCTTTGGAGAAGAACGTGTCGAGACACCCATGTATTGACCACCTCCACTTTCTGCTTACACTGCCTTAGAGATGCGCAGTTCCAGGTTCACGGAAGTAGGTGGAAACGGTCGTGAACGTGGAAGCACACACTAGTTGGGTTTCTAACAAAGTGCTGGATGATACGGTACCAGGAATGCATTGTGTCCTAAGAGCAGAGCCACCTGTGACGGGCAGGATTCGTACAGGATGACCTACTCCAGGGAAAAGACCGAGGTCTGCACTTTCCCAGGCATGTCAGTGCTACATTTGGTCATTAACTTCAAACACGCTTAATGAAAACATAGGGGAAGGTTCACAGTTGCAAGTTACTGACTCCTAAAGAGCTCTGCTCAAAGGACCGAAGGGAAAAGGGATTTTGACACCAACAAAGAACAGAAACAAAAACAGAGCCAGGCGCACAGGGAAGGGTGGCATGGAGCTTTTTAATTTGGAAGGAGGCAAAAAGGTTACACTTAATGGATGGCAGAGGTCGGGTGAATAGATGCTCATCACGAAGCTGTCCTGCCAGCGAAGGGCAGGCACTTCCCCGGAGCTCTCCACTGCATACCAAATCAGGCGCGGAGGGAGCCCCACACTGCAGAAAAGCCACATGCCCAACAAGCTGCCGACTCGAGAGCGTCTATCCAGGGGTAATCAAGTGAACCTAAAAGACACAAACAGGAATGTAAGAGGAGACATCCGAGGTTTTAAAACGTCAGCTGATACTATAGACAGGCCCCAAATCCATCTGTCGAAGTTCTAAATCCACAAGGACACAGGCAGCGTCTGAACAGTTGCTGAACTCTGGACAGTACTTTAAGCCAGGCTCGAACAACAGAAGTGAAGGGAACGTTTCACAGGAATCGGGTCCATCAAAACATAGCGCTCAACTCTGAATCCCAGGCACCCCACGGAGCTGGTAGACCTGGGCTCCAACTCCAGCTCCATCACAGTAATTAGCTGCCTGACTACACGAGTCGCTCAGGCTTCCCTGGCTCACAAATCCCTAAGCATGAGGAGGAGGAAGGTTTGCCTAAAGTTATTCTGCATTTAGAATACTTATAAAGATCTGAATTCTGGTTCTGAGGAGCCGGATAAAGAATTCAAGAGATAAAGTAGATACCGTATATACTCGTGTATAAGCCGAGTTTTTCAGCACATTTTTAATGCCGTTTTTGTAGTAAAATTAGGTGCCTCGGCTGATATTCAGGCCGGCTTACACCCAAGTATATACGGTAACAATTTCCAATCTCAGATTTAACAAAGGGTCAAAATAAGAGAAAGCATGTCCTTCCATGGAGTGGCTGGTGGGTTCAAGCCTTCCACTTCTGGGAACAGCTGGCACTTAACCCAATGCACCACCAAGGCTCTCATTAAAGCTCCCCTATTGCTTCCATCAAATTTCTTACATCAGAGTTTTCCTTTCATGGTTTCATCAACATATACTTCATTTACAATCCAACGGTTTAAATGCATTAAAGCGTTGTAAAAATCTCATCACTATTATCAATTTTAGATCATTTTCTTCATTCTTATATCCATTGTTATTAGCTTCCCATTTCCAACACCCCCTGTAATACCCATAAGGGTCTATTAATCTACTTACTGCCTTTATAGATTTACCTATCCTGGATTTCATGTAAAGAAAATCATACCCAAAATGTCCTGCCAGCAACAACAAAATAAAACATAGATACACTTTGATCCAAAAGAAAGCAGAAAACAATAAAAACTAAAACAAGTTTAAAATGGGTCAAAAGGGAAAACAAATGACAAGGTGTTCAACTTTACCCTAACTAAATCTGCAGTGATCCATTGCCCAATGCACTCTGTCTGAGGACAGGACTATTGACATCCCTGGTCAACGGTCTGAGAGAGTTCAATGTACACTTAACAAGTCTACATGGGAGCCTTGCAGAGAAGTTTTGGGCTTTCATTGTCGTCCATAGTTAAGGCAAACGCTTGGAGAGACGTTGTAACACTTGCCCAAGCAGGGTAGGGGCTGAAGAGGGCCAAGAGAATCCTGCCTATGGGCACGGCTGAGGAGCTGTCCTGACCAAAGGACTGTGCCCAGGGTCATTCCTGATCCTGTATTGTAACCTGTTCCTTCCCTAATCAGCTAATCAGCTCCACAATTCTAACTATGATCTAGGAGCTCTGTGTGTTCACTGCAATGACTTGTCAAACCCAGCAAAGAGAGGAAGAATGCCGTGGGAGAGAAGGCTGATGTCAGAATCGGTACAAAGGCTGGCAAGTGGGAGCGAGGAAGTACAGTATGGCTGACCCTCCACCACACAGCAATCACCGGATCTGAAGTCTCCTTCTCCTTGCGAGGGTACAGGGGTCAGATGCTTCCCCCACATTTTAAATCCACATGAAAAAACACCGTCTGATCAGTCTGTCCTAATCATCTTGAGAAAGCAAGGCACAACACAAAGAACCATTAACTATAATTACGCTCTGTGTAGATACAAAAGACAATGCCAGACGGGGTCATTTCTATTTGGAATCTGTCTTATTCTCAGCACCGGCTCTATTCACACACTGGCACTAGGCAGATATCCTCAAATACTGATTTTACTTCAAATCCATCTCATCCTGGCTCCCACTCACCAAATCAAAACGGAAATCTGTGAAAATATAAATCAAAGACCATTCTCCTGCAGAAATGCCAGGTTCAGAGCTCAAGTTGATCTACTTCAGAAGCACCGATCTATATTCCTAAAATTGAAAGGAACTTTAGAGAGCAGCTAGTCCAATCGTCTCCTAGATATGGAAACTGTAACCTCAAGACCTGACACATTTGTCTGGGTTGTGCTGTCCAATATGGCAGCCATGAGTCACAAGTGACCATTTAAAATTAGTTCAAGTAACGTTTTAATTCTGTTTCTCAGTCACAATAGCTACGCCTCAAATGCTCAACAGCCACATGTGGCTAGGGGCTGCCCTAATCTGCAGGCCTACGTCTCCACACTGCAGGCAGTGCTACTGCGCAGCAATAGTCAAGAGCCAACCTCAGCAGGGTTTGCCAGGTCCCTGGTTTACAATCCCCTGCACCTCCCTCAGACCACGGCAGGGACAACGGACTTCGCAAAACACTTTAGACAGCCTCCATCCTCTCTTGACAACCTCTTCTAATTTCCCATCGAAAGAAGGAAGCAAGTCCATTATTCTTAACAGGAAACATCTTCTTAACAGGAAGAAGCACACATACTCCTTGAATCCATGTTCTCAGCCACTCACTTCTTAATCCCAAGGTCTGGACCAGTCAGGCTACAATTTACCTCGGTTTAGTGACCTCCCGTGCAGAAGGGGAACACAACTATTTGTCTTTCTACATTACAGGGTAGACCCTGAGGCTCACCTCAGTTAGTGTAGGTAAAAGGAAACACTATGAATAAGCCATATTCTGATGATAATATGTGCAAATGCTGTTTAATATTCTTTTAATACTCTAAAAGATGGTATGCAGACACTGTACATTCTGTTATACATATAATACTTTAATGTCCCATCTCCTATGAACAGATGGGTAAAAAAGCAAAGACAGGAACTAATAGTAACGGTAAAGCAGTGCTGAACTGAAAATCCACACAAAAAGAACCAGGCTTCTCCTCAAGCACAATGGGAGCCCTTGGTCATGGTTCTTTTTTAATAAGAGACTTCAATCGCTGTCAAGGACTTTAATGGGCAGCCAAGCCAATCCTCTCCCTGACCAGATAAGGAAACTGAGGCTCACAGACACACACATTTGTCTGTTCCACTCGGAAACAACAGAGCAGGGTGTACAATGCAGGCTTCCTGACGTCTCCTGTGTGTTCTTTCCCACCCTAAAGCCTCCGGTATCATCTCATCCTTGGCTTCTTCCTCAGCTTCTACCATCCCCGGCACTTCCCCCAGGCCTTGGCTTCCAAATGACTGACAGCTCTGTTAATCAAGCATCTAATGATATACAGTGAACCCTCGTTTATCGTGGTTAATCGGTTCTAGACCCTACCGTGATAAATGAAATTCC